TTTTGGTTAACGCAATTGCAATTAAATTTTCAATTATTTAATACAAAACAGTTTTGCTATTTACGTTATATATGTTAATGCTGTCATAGTCTTGTACATTCCAAAAAATTTGTTAAAACTCGTGCTGAATATCAATTTACTTCATATGCTATACAAAGAAAGCATTTTCTCCTTACATTTGCAATTATAAAGATTTAGTTTTTCTCACAAAAGAATTAATTTTATATATTGTTTTAATAATTTACGACAACATAATTCAATCAGTATGCATTCCAAAATACAAATCATGTTGCAATTAAATTACAACATACTCGAGAAACAACTTACAACATTATTAGTAAAATTTTTAGTGAAATCAAGATAGTCTTGTCAATAAATGAAATGGCAAGATTTAAAATTGCTTTTAATTTAATTTAATTTATTTATTTGTATTAAATAACAAAATAAATGACTAAAATATTTGACATTTCTAAAATATGATGACAATGCGCAGATTTTCAATATGAGAAATTCATTGTACATTATAATGTAATGAAATTTATGGTTCTGTACATAAGCAAATTCTTTTCTATATATATATATAGATGACATTATTATAACAATGTAAAGTCAAATGTTTTGAATAACGTTTTAAAATCTGAAGCCATTTCCACTTCTTCAGCTTTAGTATATTTACAAGCTTTCCAATCAGCACAATGAGGTATATTTAGAATTTCTTCACTTGCTAAAACTTCCCTGTAATATACAAATAACAATTAATTAGAACCAATGAATCAGGCTTCCCTGTAATATTTTCATATTTAACAAACATTTATAATTCATTGATTTACATGAATATATATAATTATTTTTAATATGTATGTTACCTGCCAAATTGAAGAGGAAACTGTGTTCTTATTCTATGAAATAATTTTTCACCAGATTCAAATTCAACATAGAAATACGGTTTACCAGGTGGAACAATCTAAAAAGATCAATTAAACATTACATACTTTTAACAAATACAATGGCCAGAACAATAATAAAATATAAAAATATTCACAGATTAGAAGAAACTATAAATAGCTTCATATTCTTGGAATTGAAAAAGGACAAGATATGAAGACATTTACAGTTTCATCTAATTTGTAAGTACTTTTATATTATACAGTATAACCTCCAAATAGTGGAAACCATTGGGACAGAAAAGTTTGTCTGCTATTTAGAGGTAAATATAATGGATGTCCTATTTGAAGGGTCTGGGGATTGTAGAAATGTTCGTTAAGTAGAGGTGTCCGCTATTCGGGAGTGTCCATTAATGGAGGTTTCACTGTACGTGGGTTGTTCAAAAAGTTCCTTAACTTTTTGAATAGCATGCCTCCAGTTGGTTATTTTTTAATCCGCTTGAATGTATTGTGTCCGCAGAAACCTCCCGAGTAACCTCCTTCAATCCGTTTGTTGGTATCTTGCTTTGGTGATTAGTTATGGCCGTTTATGTGAAGGGTGTTTGTGGGGTTCGGCAAAAAATTGATCTGTGGAAATGAGCTCTTTGAAGGAGCAGTGTTGTTCTGTGAAATTCTGTGTGAAACTTGGGAAATCCTTCATGAAAACTTCCCGTGGGTGGGTGAAACATCCCCTGTCCCAAGAAAGCTCGACAAGTTTGCTCAAATGTTAAGGTGACATTGACTGTTTTTTTCGATGCAAAGATGATTGTGCATCATGAATATCTACCTATAGGCCAGACAGTCAACATAGAGTACTTACTACCTGGGGGTTATGAAATGCCTAAGACACAGAATCAGGCGAAAATGGCCTGAACTTTGGAGGAGCAGTGAGTGGTTTTTTCACGACAATGCACTGGCTCATTTGTCCCTCAGAACTTGCGAGTTTTTGGCCAAAAACAAAACTGCCGTGCTTCCCCACCCACCCTACTTACCTAACCTGGCCCCATGTGACTTTTTACTGTTCCCCAAACTAAAAAAACACGCTGAAAGGAAAAAGATTTACCACCATTCCAGAGATAGAAAAAAAAACAACGGAGGAGCTTATGAGCAGTCCAGAAAAAGTGTTCCAGGACTGTTTCAAAAAGTGGAAACACTGTTGGGATAAGTGTGTACATTGGGGAGGAAATTACTTTGAAGTGGACCCTGATAAATAAATTGTAAGTGAAGTATTTTTTTTGTAATAAATAAGTTTGGGAACTTTTTGAACAACCCTCATATACTGTAGTTTATTAAAAATTATATAACAATATATTTAACCTATGCTACTTATTAAATAAAGAGTTCAATGAAAATAGATATCAATATACAGAGATAATACCTGACTTAGTTCTGAATGTTTAGGAATTTCATCTAAATTTATATCTTTTTCATCTGCTTGAGAAAAGAAGACTGATTTAAGTCTGTCTATCATATCAAGTGGTATGGGAACAACCTGAAACAATATTCATGAGAATATAAATAACATTAAGAATTACTTAAAATTTATAATACTTGTTAATACTGTTATTCTTATATATAAAATGTTCTGTATAAGAATAACAAGTATTTTCTAGCATTAAATTTTATATTATTTAGAGAATTTTAAATTTATACTTTGAATTATTCACTGAAGCTTTTAATTTTTAAGTAATCTGGGCTAATAGATTATGATATATTGAACAATAGCTATTTAAAAAGTTTTTACCTGAATCTGAAGATGAGAACTTTTATAATTTCTTTCAAAAAACACAACAGTTTTATTTTGAGAATTGAAAAACTTTTTTAAGGATTCTTTATATCTTTCTATTTCATGCAATGCATCTGGTGGAAGTTCAATAGTTGACTGATGATGAGCAATGGGAAGAATAAGTATATGATCATTTGTCAAACCACCTTTAGCTAATGCTAAGTAATTCTATTAAAAATAAATAAATTGTTATGATTATTTTAAATATCTACTACTTTTACAAAATAAATCATAACAAGAACATACATGATCTCCTACACTGACAACTAAATGTTTCTCCACTTCAGGACTTGCTAAACAAAACCAGCATGGTCCTTGAGGTTGATCTGTAATGTTTTTAAAATATAATATCAACATTAATACTCTAGTATTTGAAAATATTTTTAATTATTAAATTTTTATCTATGTTATATATCACCAAAGATGCAATTTAATTGATTACATCCATACTGATGTAGTTAACAAATTCAAACTAAACAAAAAACTTTTTAATAATGAATTATGTTTATAAGAACAAATACAAATTTACAAGTAAATAAATCTGGATGAATCTTCAATTTAGTAATGTTATAATATATTAATAATAAAAGATTATTGTAATTTAATCAACAGTAAAAACTAGCATAAATAAATATTTTCTAAATGAAACTGTTTAAACCAAATTGTTACCAAGCATTGATATGAATCATTTTATCAAACAAACTAAATGTGATATTCAAAATTACTTTATCATTACAGAATAAGAACTGTCTTAATTCTCAAAAATTTCAATATGAAAGTATTGCATCAAAATATATTCTACAGATAAATTTTTACAAAAAATGCTATAAAAATAAAAATTTCTTACGTTTCTTTGGACGAGGAGTATCTACATGACGATGTTTTCTTTTCTTACTATAATCATCATCATCATCAGTGTAATCCATATTATAAAAAAATTGTTGTGTTGCTTCTTTCTATAAAATTTTGTTATAAAAGAATATTTAACAATGAAATTATTATGTACGATAAATGAAAGAAATTATAATTATGAAATACCTTAGGTGTGCAAATTGATTCTGGGAAATTATAAGGACTTTCAGTTACATCTAATGGTTGTTTCGTCAATTCAGTTCGCTCAATTGATGAACTTGGTTCAATAGAAAATGCATACAACCACTTAAAAGAAAAATAAGCATTAATAAATGTATAATTAATAAAAAATAAATATTTAAGTTAATGTTGAATAAGTTACCTTCTCTTTATTTGGATTGCCAACTTTATTTAGAGCAATGAAACGAGTTACATTACAAGTAGATTCTGCTAAAACTTTATGATTTCTGTGAAAAAAAAAAAAAGGAAATGCTATGAAAGTAATTTTCAAAAGAGAATGAGAAGAGAATTCAAATTTTCATCTAAAACTATTTTAACTAAAAAGATTCAATAATATATCTAAAAATATACCTAGTTTTATATTTTTGATATTTATACAAAATCAATTTTGTAAATATTTTAATACATATAAGTATTATATATATAAATTAAGAGCTGTCCATTAATTACATGTACAGTTTTTTATCCACTTTTGATTCCCTCCTCTACATTGTATACAATGATGTACTTTTGGGCAAACCTCTCTCTCCTGTAATTATGTATACAATAGTTTGTGAACCATTGACACTGAAGAAACGATTAAAAAAGATTTTTCTGAAAATATTTTCTAACTGATAGTTTCTTCACATGATTAATAATAATTCTTACAGCTTATGAGAACAAATTTGTATGCAAACAAAACCACTAAAAAGTCTTCATAGACAATGCCTCAATCTCCCACTCATCATTGTGTACAACAATGTACATGTACTTTTGAAACTCCCTTTAAACAGTATACATACTTAATGGGCAGCCCTTTATGTATAAATTATATATACTGTATAATTTTCACACTTGAATTTCGTGTACTTTTGCAATAATTTGCAAAAGTTAATTTAAATGTAATCCATTGAGAGTATAGTATTTTGCAACATGCAATAAATTAATCATCATATTTTGCAATATATTTTTTAAGAAATAATTAAATGGCAAAAATATATAAATTTCAGTATAACAACAGAAATTAATCACTTTTAAGTTTATTTAGCTATGAAATATAACTTTAAACAAGGGAATTCAAAATATTTTATCTTGTTGGTTCATTACTTTTTATCAAAAACTATATAAATATTTATACAGTAATAAACAAAAAAAAAAAAAAAATAATTTACAATATTATGAGAAAAATTACAGTAAGACTGATAAAATAAAAAGCATAGAAAAGTTGGTTGCAAATATGAAGCAAAATTTTCATTTCTCAATAATATATTTTAATAAAATTTTTTAGAATGATTAACAAAGACATTGCCTTTATTTTAAATTGTTAATTAGGTCTAATTATAAATGTATCGTACATAGTTTAACAATGATGAAAATAATATATTATAATTTTTTTCTATATTCCCAAATACTCCAATTCATATTTTTATTATATATTGTTTTGCATTCAGACTGATGCCTTAGTTACAAGTGTCATATAATATTTTATGAAGATAGATCTTTATCCCAAAGCATATATTTTTTTTTCTAAAAAACATTTATAACTAAATAATTTTATCATTTTATAGCATTTATAACTCAAAAGTTTTGATAACTAATTCTATCCTAGGAATATAATAAGAATTTAATAATACATATATTCTTGAATTTTTTAAAACTTTGTTTATTGTATTAGTCTTGTATTAGCCATTAAAAAAATATACAAAATTTATTTTTTAAACTCATAAATCAGAAAAACTTGATAATATTTTATTTAAAAGTTATTAGATAATTTCTGTCTAAAACTAATAATTTTATAATAAATCTATAATTTATTTGGAATTTAAACCAAAATTTTTAATAAAAAAAAAGGTAAATAAAAGTATTGAGAACATTTTTACATTCATATCATAAATATGTTTAAGCATACTAATTCTTCAAAAATACTTTATTTAAAAGTCACACATTTAAAATAATTTTCAATTAAGATTTTGATCAATTTTAATTTTAGTTTGGAATAATATTTTCAAAACTATGATAACAAAATATTTCAGATTATTTACTATCATTTATTTTTTTAAATAAAAAATATTTATTTTTATTATTGTAAATTAACAATGTTAATAAATACAACTTTCGGCTAATCCATTAAATATGGGTATGGTTTAAAGAGAGGACAGATTCACAAAAAAATACATCATTATACAGGATAAAGAGGGATGAGTTCAAAGTCAGTTCAAAAATTGTACATATAATAGCTCTTCACATAAAAGAATAACAATATTTTTTTCTTTATAAAATCAAAAGCAGCATTTTATTTATAAAATAAACTAAAAAATGTAGTTATTAACATTCATAAATACAGTAAACACCCATTAACTCAGACTAATAGAAGGTGAAGGTTGTCAAGTTAGCAGTATGTTTTCTCCAATGACATGG